TTAAGATAAAAAAATGGAAAACTAAAACCTAAACTATCATTTCAGATTAAACGGGAAGTTCTAAATAATGTTGCCTATTCTAAACAAGAAAAATTTATTTACAAGTTTTATAACATCTCTAATTAAATTTGGACGAAAAGAATATTTCTGTTTGCTGTAGGTAATTTTCTCAGGGAAAATAAGAAAATAAAAATAACTTTTTAAGTAAAAAAAAAGTCAAAAAGACAAGTTATTCTAAAAAAGGACTGTCCTTTTCAAAAAAGGACAGGTGGCAACCCTAGGTATTTCTGGAATGGAAATTTAATGGCAAATCTACAACTTTAGTTTGAAAATATGTTCCGGCCACCTATGTTAACAAAAATGTCTAAAATGTGCTTTACCATTGCCTCCATATTCTGAAAAAAAATTGAAAGAAAAGTCACCAACCACACACCTAATATAGAACTGTTTCGGAAGCCTGAGTCACCCTGTAAATATTCAAAAGTAACTGAAAGTTTATATAGAAGTAACTGAAAGTTTAAATTGAAAATCGACGTAGGAGCGATTTTCGAAAAGCACCTACTAACGTTTCAACATAAGTATATGTGGAATATTAATTATATTATTATATTAGACCTTATAACAAAACTCATCTAATGAAAAAGTGTTAATGTAGTATATTAATATGGAGTAAAAATTTTACTAATTGCTTTACTTTTACTTTACTAATTAAATTCGTTCCAAATAACGATACGCCACTGGCCATTAGAACAATCCAAATGCGCCTAGTTGCCGGGGTTGGAAATTTTAGACTTCTCTGTCTCTTCTGTCTTTGTTTGACACATTGGAATGTTTGATACACTACCAACGAGTATTTATGAATGAGATGTTCGGTCTATCTTTATAATGTCTTTGGTTATAGCGTACTACGTTTAGCTTGCGGTGTGTTTGAAGTCGGAATCAAGACGAACTTTTGAACTTTTCAGTGTTTTTCGGTGGTTTTTGTTTTTGTTTAACGTACTTTTGAATCTGCGAATTCAATATGGTACGACAGTGTCAAGTGTGTGGAAAAATAAGCTCAAATTACCCGAATTTGTCTTTTCACAGGTGGGTATTGTTTTGACATTTTATATTTCCGTCATCATTGTACATAGGCGTCCCACAAGGGAGCCTTTCACAATCAAAATAATTTCTAATTATATTTGTAATTAATCTATTAAAACAAGAACGTAGTAGCCGGTAATTGAAATAATTCGTCTCAATTACTACCTAACTGTTGTAGATCATAACAAATTTGAATATAAACGTTGCATACTTGAAATTTAATTATAAGCCAGAAAGTGACATTTTTTTCTTAAAATTGTGCCATTTTTGGTCATTATATACGATATTCTAAAGCAATTTTGCTCAATAAATAAACAAAGGTGTTACCAGACCTTTTTTACATTTTATTGATTTATTATATCTGCCCCTTCGATCTTGTTTAGACAATTTTTTACCACTGTACAAATACCTCTTCCTAGAATTATTTGTACGGTGTGTTTACCTTTTTTTAGAATGGGACGAACTGTAAATAATTCTTAGGCTACTAGTTTTATACAGAGTGACCCAGGCCTCCAAAAAGCTTTTTACCTATTACTACTAGCTGCTCTCGCCATCTAGCACTCGCCATAGTAGTACGTTTTGTACTCAAATGCTATTTTCTGCTTTTCGTTTGTCGGATTGAGGATTACAGCAAAGTCGGCTTGACGATGGAGATAAATCTCCGAAACCGGCCGTCGAATGGCTGTTCCCTTCAGTCTGATGAACTTAATGCGGAGAATAAGCATATATGTAGGGGTTAGGCACCATCTACGGTAAATTAGATGAAGGAAACGTAATATTCATTATTATGCGACAGAAATTCCATACTGTAGCACACAGATTTCATACTTTTAATGATAAATGCCTTCTATTGAGAGACTAAAAGGTAATTGCCTCGTATCAGAGCCATCATAATACAAGAAGAATACCGAAAGTCAAATCTTGTCCTATATTTGCAAAAAAAAAACAATTTTCTTATTAAATATTGATTTTAGGTATAGGAAGTTATTAATAATACAAGATTAAACAACCATTACACAGTACTTCACAGGAAGCTATCGATTGCGAACTAACTAAATAGTTACTAATTACTAATTTTAAAAAGTTCTTTTTAAGATCAAAAAAGGTAAAACTGAAACCTAAATTATCATTTGAGATTAAACGGGAAGTTCTAAATAATGTTGCCTATTCTAAACAAGAAAAATTTATTTATAAGTTTTATAACATCTCTAATTAAATTTGGACGAAAATAATATTTCTGTTTACTGTAGGTAATTTTCTCAGGGAAAATACGTAAATAAAAATGACTTTTTAAGTCAAAAAAAGTCAAAAGGACAAGTTGTTCCAAAAAAGGACTGTCCTTTTCAAAAAAGGACAGGTGGCAACCCTAGGTATTTCTGGAATGGAAATTTAATGGCAAATCTACAACTTTAGTTTGAAAATATGTTCCGGCCACCTATGTTTACAAAAATGTCTAAAATGTGCTTCACCATTGCCTCCATATTCTGAAAAAAAATTGAAAGAAAAGTCACCAACCACAAACCTAATATAGAATTGTTTCGGAAGCCTGAGTCACCCTGTAAATATTCAAAGGTAACTGAAAGTTTATATAGAATTAACTGAAAGTTTAAATTAAAAATCGACGTTGGAGCGAAAACCACCTACTAACGTTTCAACATAGGTATATGTGGGATATTAATTATATTATTATATTAGACCTTATAACAAAACTCATCTGACGAAAAAGTGTTAATGTAGTATATTAATATGGAGTATAAATTTTACTAATTAATTTACTTTTACTTTACTAATTAAATTCGTTCCAAAAAACGACACGCCACTGGCCATTAGGACAGTCCAAATACGCCTAGTTGCCGGGGTCGGAAATTTTAGACTTCTCTGTCTCTTCTGTCCTTGTTTGACACATTGGAATGTTTGATACACTACCAACGAGTATTTATGAATGAGATGTTCGGTCTATTTTTATAATGTCTTTGGAAAAAGGCCATGAATGAAGAAATGGCAGCGCTAGAGGAAAATCAAACATGGACATTAGAAGAACTTCCAAAAGGAAGAAAGGCAGTAGGATGTAAATGGATATATTCACTAAAAACTGATCCAAATGGCAGCATTAAAAGGTACAAGGCACGATTGGTGGCAAGAGGCTTCTCTCAGAGAGAAGGCATTGACTACAAAGAAACTTTTGCACCAGTTATAAGATATGAGTCAATCAGAGTTCTTCTTTCAATTGCTGCAACAGAGAATCTAGAAATTTCCAAATGTGTGAAAACTGCCTTTCTTAATGGAGAACTACAAGAAGAAATATTCATGGATAGACCACCAGGTTATGAGGAGACACAACCAGATAATATGAAATGCAAATTGCAAAGAAGCCTGTATGGTCTTCAGCAATCACCCCGATGCTGGAATACAAAATTTGTAGGTTTTCTAAAGAACTTTAATTTCAAGGCCATCAACAGTGATAATTGTGTTTTCTACGGAAAGTTCAATAAAGCAAAAGTGTATCTGGCCCTTTATGTGGATGATGGATTGATCCTGTCAAACTCCATTGATGCAATCAAGAAGGTGCTGGACTATTTGAAGCAGATGTTTCAAATCACAATTGAACCAGGGACAAAGAGTAGATAAGACAAGAGACGACAGTGAACAAAGAAGTTGAATTTCGCGAGAGAGACGCAGATATATTAAAATTTAAAGGTCCCATCAAGTCTCATTTTGTCTGTTGCCAAGTATATTTCTTTGAAAAATAAACAAGATTTTCTGAAAAAATAAATTAATAATATAAGAAGGATATATGTAAGTAACGTATGTTAATACGGAAATGTAAATTTTTAGTTTAGGTTGGTTTAGGTTCTTTTTTCGCAATGTACTGATAATATCAAAAAAACAGAATGACTAAGTTGATCGATTTCAAAGATAAACAGATAAAATCTGAAAATCTGACAACGGCGTATTTTATTAATTCTAACCTATGATTTTGGGACGCTAATCAGCTGTGCTAATCAGGCTTAAACGTAAACAAATCTGATTAGTTGTTTTCTTGCATTTTTGCCTTTTTAAAGTGTGTTTTCAGAGTTTTTCGAGATATTCTCGTTTTGAGAGTTTTTAAGGTTTAATTTTAGTATCGTTTTTGTTGCGTACTAATTTGTAATTACTGTTAAATATGAATACTGAACAGGATACGAGTAGCAGGAAAAGACGAGATGGTGGCAATGTTTGTGCTTATAAAGACTGCAAAAATAGGTCTTATTCTTCGACAAACATAATATTTCACTCTTTTCCAAAGGATCCTGAAAAGTATTTTTATAGAAATATACTATATAATTATGTTATTAAACTAAATATAATCCGTAGATCGAAGACATGGTTAGGAGCTTGTAATATATTTTTACAAAAAAAAATTGAGCAACAATTTTTTTGTACATAAACTTGTGATATTACACTTGTTCAAGTCCATATGTAAAAAAATACACGTAAATAAAGCATTTCTTACAAATTGATTTGGTCACTTTATCTTGTTTACCAACGATATACAAAATATTGATTTTATTATCTTTATTCCCCGACAAATATGTTTCTAATTATTATTTGTTTGTAAATTTAAAAGCTCATTTTCGTTTCTATTTATTTCTTTACCCATACAATAACTAATTTATAAATATACAGGCAAGTTTGAATAATAGTCTATTTCAAATTTCCCGCGAAAAAATTACGAAAATTTAAAGGGACAAGCGAGACGAGGTCACTCTCCCCACCACTCAAACATGAAAGGTACCGCGCGAACTGTCGTCTCTTGTCTTATCTACTCTTTGCCAGGGACGCAGTTTGTTGGTGTAGAAATTGAACGCAATAGAGAGAAGAGACAAATTAAAATTACTCAAACTGCTTTGATTAATAAAATAATAAAAAAAATTGGTATGTCAACAGCTAAAACAGTAGCAATTCCAGCAGAACCAGGATCTCATCTCTCTAAGCCACCAGACTGCAACCAATTAGAAATTCAATCAACAGTGCCTTATCGCGAAGCGGTTGGATCGTTACTCTTTGTAGCTCAGGGTGTGTCGCGACCGGATATCGAGTACTCCGTGAATCGAGCAAGTCAGTTTCTAACCAATTACAGAGAAGAACATAGGCAAGCAGTGAAGAGGATTATTCGATACCTGGAAGGAACTATTAATTTCGGTATAGTGTACGGACATAGTGGGAGTGACGAATTGATCGGGTATACAGATGCTGATTATACCGGGTGTATACAAACGCGTCGATCAACGAGTGGCTTCACGTTTTTATTTGCAGGAGGTCCAGTCAGAAGCAGAGTGCAGTTTCCCTTTCCACAACAGAATCTGAGTACATCGCCCTAGCTCATGCCCAAGTAGCATTTTCACGACTTGCGACCACATGTTTACTAAACACAACGTTGGATTAGTTACAAAAAATAGTTAGCTTCCTACCTTGGGTATTAAAATAAATTTAAACGTTTTTATAACGTTTTGCCGACGTTGGACTAATACTACAGCAAAGTAGAAGCTTCTGCGACGTCGAATAAACGTTGTCTTGTAACCTTTTTTGCTGAAGTGATTTTTAGGTGATTCGGACAACGTAGTTACAACGTTGGACAATATAGTGTTTTCCGACGTCAGTTTCAGGACCTATTCCAACGTATGCAAACGTCGTCTGTTTTACTAATTCAACGTTGTTTAGATTTCCTAATTTATCTTACGTTGGTGGGACGTCGAGTCACTACCTTTTTGCAACTGTATTGAACCATAACCTTAAATCTTAAATTTTCACTTCATTGTTCTGTTCAGTCAGACATTTCAGTGCTGTTTTTGTTTTTATAAAAAAAAACTTGGTAAATGGGACATAAGAAATGTACATATAAAACTAAATTTAAATATACATCGATATATATTACCAATAGTTTATCCACTCCCTCATTTATTTGGAATATAGCTAACACAAGCTAGTTTCTAGGATGACTAAATTAGGCAATCTTGCGACTAGTATACTACCTACCTGTTAAGGCCGAACTGCGACTTTATTAGTCCAGTATGCGACTACTCGAACTACTCCATCTTAATCTCCAAAACAACAAAGTGAAAAGCCGCCATGTTGTTAAATAAGAAATGTTTCGTTCCTAAAATAGCAATTCCTGCTTTTTGAATACATTAACTTAAAATATTTGACCTAAAAAACACGCGGAAACAGTTTTTTCGACTGCGAATAAATTAGTCTCATTTTACTAAAAAAAATTCAAGAAAATTTAAAATTTCTTTATTTTAAGGTCATTAGTATTTTTCAAAGTAGAAACAACACGTTTATCAATAAAGTTGTTTGCGTTTAACTTTTTTGCCTTGGGTAATGAGTTACAGAGAGTCGGTTAAAGTGTTTCAATAATTATGATCTTCAAACATCCTCCACACTTAAATACTTTTGTTTTGTTTCCTTCACTGCCATCTGACATGTCTCTAACTAAATCATAAAAATAATATTTTACTATAATTATCCCAATTTAGGATAAAACGACTTAGACGCCATATTAGTTTTGTATTTCTGTGAATTAGGATTTTAAACAACGTTGCAGTTTGTACTAAATTGGGCTTCTAGCCAACGTCGGTATCCAACGTCGTTTCGACCCAAAAATTATTCTCCAAACTAGTGCAGACTAGGGTTGGCACCAGGTTGTGCCGACGTTGCGCCCCGACGTTTGGTCGCGTGACACAACGTTGTCCCGACGTCCAAATGCTTCTTGGGTGGTGTCAAAGAAGCCCTATGGTTAAAAGAAATGTACAACGAAATCGGAGTGTATACAGACAGAGTGCCCATATTTGTAGACAACCAATCAGCAATCAAGTTAGCTTGCCAGTGGCGGACTAAGCCTGTCGGGGGCCCGGGGCGGCGAAGCTAAATGTGGCCCCCTGTCTGTTTAGATAATGATATACTTCTAAAGCACATTTTGTAAAAATTGAATAACGTATGTATAATTGTTGACAAAATTCAAGTATTTATACAGGGTGTCCCAGGCTGAGCCTGCGTTAGAAGTTTCTAAAGAACTACAATATCTAGATACGAGATTTTGTGCATATCATTCATCCTCAATCACAATGAGATCTATTGATTAAAATATTTTCAATATGGCAGAGCTTTAAGTTGACAGCAACTTTCTTATTTTAAATAAAAGTGACCCCATTTTTTATTACATGCTCAAGTTCTCTGTAAAAATTTTATGAATTTTGATATTAAACACTCTATACCTAACGTTAACCGTTTTGAGAAAAAAAAATGTTTTTATTTATATTTTTAGAGGAAAAAAAAAGAAACTGCCTGTAAAAAATACATAGCCCACAAATGTCAAATTTAATGATTGCCACAGCCACTGTACCATAAAGAAGACATGTCAAAAATTAAATTGTCCGAAATGGCCGCAGCTGTCCAGCTCTTGGAGATTGAGCAGGTCCGTTACAGTAGCCCCCCCCCCCCCCCCCCCCCCCCCCCCCCCCCCCCCCCTGCACTACCTAGCACCCAACCTACAGAGCTAGCACCACAGCCCCTGGTGAATTACAGGACATTTTTTTGCGGGGGGCTAATGCTGAAAACGCTAGCCTCCCCCAGTTGGTACCTGCACTGCCAACTTTTAGCACTCTATTTGCCATCTAGCACTACCTAGCACCCAATTTACAGAGCTAGCACCACAACCCTTAGTGAATTACAGGACATTTATACCGGGGGGCCAATGTATCAACCCCAGTTGAATTTTTTCCCTTAAAACTTTAGCGCTCTATTGCACCCACCTAGCACTACCTAGCACCCATTTTACAGAGCTAGCACTACACTCCCAGAAGAATTTATAGCATATTTTCACCTGGCGCACAGTGGGGCGGATGGCAATTCTAGTGGGACAAAACGTCAGTGATGTTTGGGACTTTATTATCTCGTAATACGAGATAGTAAAACTAATAGGCATAAAACTGTTATAATATACATGACACAAAAACCGTACTGTAAACTATTGCTGTTGGATTCTATCCCTTCCTCCCATCCTTTACCCGAAAAACCTTAGTGGGTACGTAGCCGTAGTCGAATACGCAGCGTGACAAGATCGGCCGAGTACACAGTGTACACTTCCAAGCGCGCGCTATCCTCAAGTGTTTTATAAGCAAAAAATCAACAAGTACGAGTCCAGAACGGGAATAAAGGTCAGTGCCCACAGTCCTGATACATTAACTCACCCTAATGAACTGAGCCCCTTAATTCTCGCCCGTAACAATTGCCAAATAAATAAAATTATGATATCAGGTGAAACACTTACAAAAAACTCTATTTAACAGTCATTTCTTAATTACTTTAATAAAAAAAAAAAACACCCTGTATATTTTTATTTTAAAAATACTATTTATTAAGAAATAAATAGATGCACTATTTGCAAACCCAATCTTCTTTTGAAAGGTCTTCTATTAACCCTTTAACGAGAATTAACATTTATGTTTATACTAGCTGATTGAAATTAAACTTTTAAGCGTTCACCAGTTCAGCTTGAATTCCCTGTCACTAATAAAATACCTTCTAGACACGATTTATTCTATTTGCGAAAATTGTTTAAGGAAAAGCAACTTTTTTACAATTTTCGATATAAAACAATAAGGAAAATGATTGCAAATGGGTCTTTTCAAAACCTTTCGTTTTTGTCACTAAAGAAAGTTTGGGATACAAAAATTGCATCACGACATTCCACAAAACGGTCAAACTGGTCTTTGATGTTGATTTTAAAACGCCTTTTTTTCTTAAGGGCTTCAAAAAATTCTTAGCAGCTAACTTCAACCTAACCTAACCAAAAAAAAAAAAAAAAAAAAAAAAATTATGTTTTTTTTTTTCAACAATTTGGCAACACCGGTAAAAATAAATATGGGCATGGAAACTACAAATATTCTAGCATCAAAATTGCTTACTACATTTTGGTAACTATTGGTAACTCAAAAGATCTACATCATTCAATATATCGATATTTGAAAAAAGAAGTGAAAGTTTGATATCTGCAAAACAAAAGCACGAAATATTTTAACGAATAATATACGTGTAGTATATAAGTAAATAACATAATTTGGTTTGGAATAGAGATGTATAAGCACTTGTAAATATTTGTTTTCGTATAACTTCTGCCTTGCTGAGCAGAAAACGACTTTAGTTGATAAAAATATATCGAAATACATACAAAGAATATATATAACCAAAAAATAATTGATGCATTTTTATATCTATTGGAATGCCTACTATTAATTCATCAGTACACATTTTTTGGCTTATTTCTTGTTTTACGTTTTGGGGTTTATATTTATGAACTAAATGAAGGTCTTACTAATTTTAATAAACGTATATTAAAGTGAAAGTAAATTAACAAAACATATCAACTTATATTAGATAATAGACAAGGACCACCACATGTCTGAATGACATCTGTCTAACAGGTCGTGGCTACAGGCACGTAAGACGGAACATTATAAAGTCGCTTTATTCAAACACCTTCCCCTCAAAGGTCGAGCTTCCTAGGGGGTTTAATATTACGACCTGAACGCGACTTAATAATATTGTTACTTAAATCTACATTAACATTTTCATTTTGTTCAACTGACACATTTGGGTTTAACGACATAATTGGGTTTGATGACATATTTGGAATTGACAATAGTTCAGGAAACAACTCAGGTTCTGTAAGGACTTTTTTCTCTGGTTCTGTAAATGACAATTTAATCTGAGAAGTATTACGCCTAACAATCCGGTTGTTATCCTCCTTTCGTACCCAGTAAGATCTTGGTTCATTAGCTTTCTCCAGAATTGTAGCTTTATACCAGATTTTATCTATGTTGCTTCTGATTACTACTTTATCTCCCTTTTTATACTCTGGATAAGGATATATAATAAAGGATATCTGCGAACCATTTTGTCATATTGGATTTTAACTTTATCTTTTTGTTCACAAAGCTGTTTATAAATATTATTTTGAATTCTCGGTTGCAATTTTGCATCACTTAAAGGTAGTTGTGATTTTAAGATTCTGCTCTGCAGTATTTGAGCTGGAGACGCGTTTAAGTTAATAATAGGTGAATTGTTATATTCCATAACAGATTCTCTAAAGTCGGAATTTTCATCTAAACTTTTCTTTATCATTTGTTTGCATATATTAACTGCTTTCTCGGCTAGACCATTACTTTGATGATAATGTGGAGAACATGTTTTTATTGTAATGTCTTTTGCTCGATAATACTTTTTTAAACGACTTGAAATAAAAGGTAAATTATCAGCAATGATATACGTTGGATAACCAAATCTTATAAATATTTCTTGAAATGCATTTATAACTGACTCTGCTGTTTTATCTTTTAGCAAAATACACTCTATCCAATGAGAGAAATGATCAATTACAACTAAGTATGATTTACAACCAAATTCTAAAATATCAGCTCCTATTTTGTTAAAACGAAGTTTAGGAACAGTATGTGGTAAAAGTGGTTCTCTATAATTTGCAGGTCTATATTTTTTCTAAACACGACATTTTTATATAGTTAATTATATCATCAGACAGATTTGGCCAATAAAATAATAATCTCGCTTTATGAATTGGTTTACTAGTTCCAATGTGTCCCTTATGTAACAGTTCACACATCTTTACACGCAGACTAGTAGGAACGATTACTTTATCGTTTAAGAAAATGATACCACTCTCTATATAGATAGAATTTTTGATTATGCATATGGGTACAATCCAGATTGGAATGGAACTTGTTTTTGGCCATCCATTGTAATAATAATCATATAATTTCATTAAAGTTTTATCTTTACACGTTTCTATTCTAAATTCGTCTCGTTTTTCGTTACTCATAGGAATATGCTTTGAAACTGAATGGACCATTTCGAACATTTCATTATCAATCTTACCTGTTGACTTTAAACTAGATCGCGAAAGCATATCAGCAAAATGAATGCTTTTACCTGGTACATAATATACATTGATATATTTAGTAACTTTAATCTAATACGTTGTAATCTAACTGAACCAATTTACAAATAGGTTTTTCATAATTGACACTATAGGTTTATGATCTGATTGAACATCAAAATTTCTTCCATATATAAAATCGTGAAATTTTTGTGTGGCAAAATAAATGGCTAAAAGCTCTTTCTCTGTTTGACTATAATTAACTTCGTGTTCATTCATCATACGTGATGCACAACTAACTAATTTAACTATATTATTTTCATATTGTTGAAACATCCTAAACCGTTTTTAGATGCGTCATATTGTAAAATTATTTTCCTTTTATAATCAAACGGAGTTAGGCCTGGTGAATTACAAATGATTTTCTTTAATGTATCAAAAGCTTTTTGGTGTGCTGGTAACCATTGCCATTCTATATTATTTTTTAAAAGTTCACATAAAAGATGCATATATTCTGCCATGTTTTTTATATATCGTCTTACATAATTAAAAGAACCAATAATCCTTTGTAATTCATTTTTTGTTTGAATTTTCTAGTTTACATAAAGATTCAATTCTATCAGGGTCTATTTGCATTCCTGACTCAGAAAACATTTGCCCCATAAACTTTACCTGACTCTGGCCGAGATATTGCAATTTTCTTTATTAAATTTTGCACCTACCTCCTTGGCTTTTTTCACAACCTCTGATACGGCCTGATCATGCTCTTCTCTTGTTGCTCCTGCTACGATCATATCATCGTGACAAATTTGCACATTTTTGATGTTACCAAACTCTCTTTCAACTACATCTTGAAATAAATCTTGTGAATTTGACAAACCATAAGGTAGAACTGTAAACCTATATATTCCAAATGGTGTTGCAAAGCAACATTTCCATGAAGCTTCTTCTGTCAACTCTAAATGGTGGTAACCTTCAGCTAAATCAAAAACAGTGAAGAATCTTTTTCCATTTAAATTTGCACAAATCTCTTCTATGTTGCATGCTATTTTAGGTTTTCTGACAATTTGTCTATTTAAATCAGAAGGGTCTAAACAAAGTCTTAACTTACCATTTGTTTTTTCTACAATGACCATTCTGTTAATACTTGCATTTGAATTTATTTCATCTACCTTTACAATTGCATTCCTTTTTATTAATCTATCTATTTCATTTTTTAGTTCATTTCTTAATGTAATTGGTACTTTAGTAGGGGGGTAACTGACCGGTTCAAAATTTTCTACTGTTGTTATGTTATATTTACCAGGAAACTTACCATAACCACTAAAAATTTCAAAATTCTTATTATAAATTTTTCCCTATCATTTAAACCATTCTCAGTAACTGAAATATTATTGCTCTTTTTCACCAGCAATTTTACGCAAGCTAAACCGCTTAATAGAACCTGATTTGCTCCCTCAACTATGACAAAGTCTTCATACATTTCTACACTTTTATACTTACAATATATTTACAATACCAATGGGTTGAACCTGAGAACCTTCAAATCCTTTTAAAATACAATGTGTGTCCCTAACCTTAAATTTTTTTATTTATACAATTAAATAATGTTGATGGTATTACACTAACGTCTGCCCCTGTATCCAACCTAACTTTACATCTTTTGTTTTCTACATGTATGAACTCTTCCCATATATTTGTTGGGTTTTATAATTATTAGATGTAAATTAGATTTATTCGAGGTATATCCTTACTTGTTACCTACAGATAAATTTTCCTCACTAATATCACATTTTTTTCTTCAACATTTTTTTAATTTTTATGCGACACGATATAGCAAAGTGGTTTAATAATCCGCACTTCCTACACTTTTTTCCATAAGCAGAGCATTCCCTGGGACCGTGTATATTTTGACACCTTTTACATTTGAATTTGTCCTTTGCATATTGCTGTTCACTTTTTTGTCTTTTCTTTCGCCTGGCCTTATATTTTTAATAAAATTTACCTCTTCCTCGCCTTCTTGGAATTTAATACTTTGATTTCTGCTCTGTTCACTCGTTCTACAGAAATTTATAGCTTTATCGAGTGTTAACTCATCTAATCTAAGCAACGCTTCTCTAGTTGTTGGATCCCTAATTCCCATTACAATTTTGTCTCTCAAAGCCTTGTCTTCACTTGTCTGATTTGGATCTATAGTATTGTAATTACAGCTCTTGACCAGATGACGACACTCAGTTAAGAAATGTTCAAACGTTTCACCTAACTTTTGCACTCGTTTAAAGAGTATATCTTTCAAAACATTCATTTATCCTTGGGTTTACATATTTAGTTATAAGTTCCAACATGTATTCGTATTTATCCTGCTGATCCTCGGGAATCACAAAGGTCGACATTATTCTGGCGGACTCGGTGCCAATAATGTTTCTCAGAATCGATAATTTTACCTGTCCTGCAGCTTTATCCTGCCCTATCGCAACTAGATAGTCCTCAAAAGCTGTCTTCCAAAACTTCCATTCTCCCGCAGCATTTTGCCCTTGCAGATCAAAATCTGGCGGTAATTTTACCATGCCCATGGTAGCCATCTTTTACACTCAAGATCGACTTTTTTATACTTAAAAGACTTGATACTTTTGTAAATACTTTTAACTGCCTTCAATTACGTACTTACGACTTACGACTGCGCCATGTTTTATGTTTTGGGGTTTATATTTATGTCCTAAATGAAGGTCTTACTAATTTTAATAAACGTATATTAAGGTGAAAGTAAATTAACAAAACATATCAACTTATAATTAGATAATAGACAAGGACAACAACATGTCTGAATGACATCTGTCTAACAGGTCGTGGCTACAGGCACGTAAGACGGAACATTATAAAGTCCATATTCAAACAATTAGCGTGTGTCGTTTGAACTGAGTGCAAAATGATGGCCGAATATTTACTGCACGTTTATGTTAATTTGTGGCGCTTGGTAAATGTGTTTTTTGACTAATTTTTTGTGCTTACAATTGTGGAAAGTGGTTTACGTAAAGCATAAAAGGTAATTAATACTTTATTTAATTGAACTATTATTTTGTTATGCAGCATTTTTCTCTTTGTTAGTGCAGTGTTCAAAAATTGAACCACCATACTTTTAAGGCAATGAACAGCGATCGCAAATACCGATATGATTATCTTACTTCACTGGATCCAAATGCTCTATATGACATCCTAGATGTCATTGACGAACAAAATGTAGCAATACCGTCAGATTCAGGTTCAGAAAATGACAGTACCGATGAAAATGATCAAGATGCGGATGCTTCCACTAGTTTAGTTCGTGATAATGAAGAACCTGAACCTGAATACGTGCTTTCCGCCTCGGACGATTCAGATTATGAGTGGGATGCAGAAGATTTGGTACCTTTAGCTCGGTTAGCAGCAGAAATGAAAACGCAAAAACAGATTTCATGGGACAAGAATTTGGCTAATATTCATGCACCAATTCCATTTACTGAAAATACCGGACTGCCTCAGTTTATCAGAGATATTCCGAACCCTAGCCCACTAGATATTTTTAGACTATTTATTACCGATGGCATTATCAATCATATAGTTTTCCAAACTAATTTATATGCCGAACAAAAATTTTCCAACATGGGCAAACCATACAAAAAAACTAACCCAGACGAAATAAAGGCATTTTTGGGAATCAACCTTCTAATGGGAATAAAACGATATCCAAGCTACAGAGATTACTGGAGCACAGCGCCTGATTTACATGATCCTTACATATGTCGGATTATGACTTTACACCGATTCGGTTGGCTCCTATCACATGTTCACCTCAATGACAATAGTGTTATTCCGGCACGTGATACAATTAATTTTGATAAATTATATAAAGTAAGGCCATTTCTGGATTCCCTAAAAGCTAATTTTCGAAATTGTCTTCAGCCACATGAAAATGTAGCGGTGGATGAATCGATGATCAAATTCAAATCGGTCGTATTTCTATAAAACAATATATGCCCAAAAAGCCTATAAAAAGGGGCTACAAAATGTGGATGTTAGCTGATTCATCTGGGTATTGCCTAAATTTTGAAATTTACACAGGAAAAGTAGGGAATGAAGTTGAACAGAATTTAGGTGCTCGAGTAGTTAAAAATATGACTTTTGAAATAGGAAACAAAAACCATAAAGTCTTATTTGACAATTTTTTTGCCGGTGTACCACTGATGGAAGAGCTTCGTCAACAAAATTTGTATGCTTGTGGCACTGTCAACTCAACAAGGAAAAATCTGCCTAAATTTAAGACAGATAAAGAGCTAAAACGGGGAGATTTTGATTGGTATTCTAGTAATACGGGTCTGGCAGCGGTAAAATGGCGTGATAGAAGGTCGGTACATTTGTTATCAAATTATCACAATCCGTCTTCAAGCACTGAGGTGAAAAGAAAGGAAAAAGATGGGATGCAGGTTCAAGTGCCATGTCCTATTATGCTTAGGGATTATAATAAGAACATGAGTTTTGTGGATAAATTTGATCAGCTTAGGGCTACTTATGGTATCGATAGAAAAAGTCACAAATGATGGCACCGAATATTTTTCTTCTTTATCGACTCAGCGCTTGTAAATGCATTCATTATAAATAAATTATTAGGAATATCTCCTCAATTGACAATAACAAATTTTCGAAGGCAAGTGTCAGAGGGTCTGGTATCAAATAATTTAGTTAAGCATTTGTCATTGCCTACGGAATTATCTTTACCTTTGAAAAAACACAAACCATCCGTTTCAAAATCAATAAGATTGACATCAAGTGCTCATTAACCAATGCGTACTACTCGCAGGAGATGCGCTGTCTGTAGTACCAAAAATAATGATTTCAGGACCAACTGGCAATGCAGTGTTTGCAATGTACCTCTTTGTTTGGGGGCTTCAAAACTTGTTTTCAAATTACCATAATTAGTATTTTTAATGTTCAGGTACTGTGGTGTACATATTAAACCACCATATTTTGTTTATAACAATAGGTCTAATTGTTTGAAATTTATCTTTGTGTTTGTTTTTAAGCATCTTTTGTTAGAAAAATGTACAAAATATTGATTTTTGGAATACATTTTTTCTTCGTACTGCTAGTGTTTTTTTTATGGCAATTTTCCGTACCTGAAAGAGTTATAGATTGTTGTAAGCTGAGAAGAGCAAGAGAGCAAACAAGAAATAGTTTTAAGCAAAACTCCTCGGAAACTTTGAAGGCCATTTATTTTGACGGAAGGAAAGATAAAACCTATGTTATTGAAAATATTGAAGGCAAGTCCCACAGAAGAACTGTACTTGAAGAACATATTTCTTTAGTTCAGGAGCCGGGTTCTATATTTTTGGGTCACACAGTTCCCAGTTCTGGTTCGGCTCTAAGCATTTGACAAAGTATTGTGGATTTCATAGAAAGTAATGAATATGACCTAGAAGAACTAGTAGCAGTTGGATGTGACGGAACCGTGGTGAATACAGGAAAAAAAATGGTGCAGTTTCTCAATTAGAATTAAAATTAGAACGCCCGCGCTCTTTACAAAGATTGGTCTGCCAGCTTCACGCTAATGAGTTACCTTTTAGGCATCTTTTTCAAAAGCTTGACGGTCAAACCCTAGGTTCAAGAGCTTTTGCAGGAACTATAGGAAATCAAATACAACAGTGCAAAAATATGCCAGTTGTGAACTATACCATTATTGACTGTGATTTACCAGACGTGGATTTTCTTGAGTGAAGAAATATCTGTATGAAATTTGTGTTGCGGCTTCTACAGGTGAGTGCACCGTAGATTTATTAAACCGAAGCCTAGGAAAGTTAAAGTCATTCTCGATGGCTCATTTTGGCTAATCGCACCTTACGTCTTTATGTTAGTACCAAAAATCCAACATTACAATTAAAGGAACTGTCCAAATTTATTGTCAAGGTTTCAAATTAAATGCAACTCTTCATGTGTAAATGGTGCCAAGCATGTTTTAGAAACAATAAAACGTAGCCGATACCTAGAGCAAGATTTAAAAAGTGTTATAGACCCTGTGATGCAAAGAAATGCCTATTTTGTCCATCCCGTAAATCTTCTGATATGTATGCTACATTACACTCGCCCCCATATAAGAGAGCTTCCACTTCGCGGCATTTCTAAATGCAAAAACTCAAGACACGCCATCGTTCACGCAATATCCGACCTTTTTTCATTCCACAAATTAATTTTGACGCAGATGACTACGTTGATCTAATTGAATAGCAAAAAAATTAAATAACTTGTCCCCCATTGTTCCAAACTTTGGAAGTAGATGATTTGAAAAATATGATTTTTAGTTCTTCTGAAACAATCATCGACATCGCTGCATTCCCTCTCACACTCAATCAGTAGAGAGATGCATAAAACTTGTAACCGAAGCATCTTTATCAGTTGTAGGCATACAAAAGAGAGACAGTTTTATAAAGACAAAAATAGATTCGCGCAAACTTATGCCACAATTTGAGTCAAAAAAAGACTACAATCAATAAGCAAGCAAAAATAAATGGATCAGGGAGGGTGGGATGGAACTCGCCGAGCAATTACTTCCCCGTGGTGAGTTCTGGGTTGTTTAACAATACTGAGTACATAAAATAATGTTAAACAAGCGAAAAACTGCTCTAAGTGCTCTGCTTGACACATATTTTTAACTCTTTGTTAAAGTGTGTAAATATTTGGGTATTTATAAAAAAAACTGTTTGACCTTGGTACATAGGGTACACTGAGTAGGGGGGTAAAATGTCATATTTCAATAAGATATATTATTTCTAATTACAAAAGTTACTTATTAACTGAAATTTTGGCTAAAAATCAAAATTTTATATTTTTTACTTTTTTAAAGCCCGGTAGAGGGCAGAAGATAAAAAAAATTGAAAAACTTTAAATTGATATTAGTTTTCTAATACCAATTAGCAACTTTTGCGCAGTATTCCAAAACGATTTTCAAAACTTGGATTTTTTGATCCACCTACTGCATATACAGGATATCCCCGGATAATCCTTACAAGAGGAAAAACTTATTATTATTGGCACTTTGAAAAAAAGCATTCTGTATAAAAAAAACTTTTGAAGTTTATATTTTTCCAAATATCTATACCGTTTTAGAGAAAATTAAAAAAAAACAAGAAAATGTATTTGAATTTTTTGTTGAAGTCCTTAAAACTAAAAGGCCGGCGTTTCTTTGGTAATATAATTTGGATTTTATACATAATTCATTAATAGATCGTAATAATTAATTTTGATTAACGTCATATTTTTTCATGTTAAAGTATCACATTTTCCGATAACTTTTATCACTCTTTTCGTAGCATTAATGCTACGAAAAAATAAATTTTGTGCTTCTTTAAAATTTTAAAACAACAAAAAATATAACGTTGATTAAAATTCTGTCAATAATGATCTATCAAAGAATGAAAAAAAAATTATATTACCAAGAAAACACGTTTTGATTTTTAGAACTTCAACTATAAAATTAACTATTAAAATCAACTTATTTTCATATTTTTTTAAAATTTCTCTGAAATGGTATGGACATTTGGAAAAGTATAAAGGGATTAACCATTTCAGAACAAGCAATTTTTTTCTAAGAATGCATTTTTCTGGTAATGTCAATAATAAAAAAAACTTTTTCCTCTTGTAAAGATCCGGGGTAGAAACAATAAGGGTAATACTGTAGAGGGTAGTAATGAACTCGAATTAGGAAGTCTAAAATATATAAATTAGACCTTTTTGAACTATTGTCACTATATCTTTGATGGAATTTCTAGATTGTTATTTTATAGGTGCCAAAGCTTTTTCATTTAAATTAATGTAATTCAAATTTGATGATTCTGTTATAATGTTATAAACAAGTATAATATAATAAAGGGATTTGAAATATAGAAATGGTTGAATGTGGCTCTCTTTTTAAGAACTAAATAATATTCATATCATACCATGACGACTTACCAATACTTTTTTATCAACAGGCATATGTACTTTAATATTTCTTAAGTTTTTTACACCTATTGTTTCAAAGGCGCTTATCACAGTTACATTATGTCCTTTATTAGCTAGAGCTATCATTAAGGGCTTAGCTAGTAGGTACTGGCTATATCCTGCACTAGGAAATATACCCAAAATGTTGGAATTTGTAGTTAATCTACATAAAAACGTTATTAATAGGACAGATATCATAATAAACTTGCTCATTCTAACAGTTTAAAAAACCAAACTGAAGTGAAGAATAGTTATAGAATATTTTAAATTTTTTTATTATCTCGCCTAGTGTCGCAAGATAACTTAAAGTCTAGACGTAATAATATAAAAAAAAGATATCTTTGTTAATAGCGAATTTAATTTGCCAAGAAACAATCAGTGTTTTTTAATGAGGGCTTTTAAATATTACGTTTGTTTAGTATTAGAGATAGAAAAATAATGATGTAAAAATTAAGTTTAAATTGTGCCTTTCACGGCTTACATGGAATGAATAAAATTAAGGCTGATTCATGGTACACCGTGACGGGCCGGGGCCGTGCGACGGTGAAGGCACGGCCAAATATTGTCAAATGTTATTTATACGTATGCATTCATGCTAAGCCGGGCACGGGCCGAGCTTCGCCGAAACGCGTCCGTGCCCCGTCCGTGCACGACTCGGGTACGGCCCGGTGTACCATGAATCAGCCTTTATAGTTAGAATGTTGAATGTTTAGGAGGAGGGTTAAGGCTGATTCATGGTACACCGGGCCGTACCCGAGCCAGGCTGAGGCAGAGGCACACGGGCAGGAGCCTGAACAGGGCACGGGGCGCACTCGGCAGAAGCTCGGCTGCGTGCCCGAAGCATGAATGCATACGTATAAATAACATTTGACAATATTTAGCAATGCCTTCAGCCCCGGCATCCGGTGCACCATGAATCAGCTTCTTTAATCCACGACACACAGATCTATTATGTGTTCCCTAGGGTGAGCCAAAAAACTAACCTATCGAATTTATGGGTTAAAAATGAACCTAGTAACCGAGAAAAAAATATCGGAAGGTAGGATTTTTAGTTCGCTTTTAAAAGGCGTCGGTGGACATTCAAAATTTTCCATTTAAATAACACGTAAAAAATCTTTTTCCATTAAAGTTACCATAACTTTGAAACGATTGTGCGATAAAAAATTTTACGTCGCGGATTCTTGTAGAGCATAAAATTTACTAAAAAAATCTAGCTGAGAGTAATTTTTCTATTCAATAATTCGTATACAGGGTTGTTCACCACATACGACACGGAGTATTGTAGTTAAACGATGAGATTTTACAAATTGTAAGTTTGGGGTTCGTTGAAGGACTATTAGAGCTACAATTTAAAAATATTTTTTACAAGATACAAAGTGTCCCAAATAAATAAAAAATATCAAAGTTGTATTTTTAAATGGAACCTCCCTGTATATTATTATTACCTTTTAGTTTCTACGATTAAAATAAAGGTAAATTTGATTAAGTTTTTATTATACTTAAACCTTACCGTTTTTGAAATATTTTCAATTTTGTGAAATAGCAGTAAAAATTTTAAAAGCTTCAT